GTTCTTCTTGATCCAGCCACCGCACGCGAACTCGTAGAAGTCAGTGCACGGTTCCACATCTCTGTTCAGTGATGATAATATCCTGGAGGCTGTACAGAAATGTAATGGAAATTAAAAACATTAATTAAGAATCTAAATTAGTTGTCGCTTATCAAAATAAACAACAAGGATATAATGGAATTGACATACATACAAACCCGCATAAAAACTACGTAGCTCGGATAAACACGTAACCAAAAGTCCGATAATTGTATTACCAAACATATTGTTAATGTAATTGAGAGAAAATTTTGAAAGTTAGTGATAATTTAAACAACCGGAATTTCAGTGTATAAATAAAATTAAATAATCAGAGAACTAATTATTGAGTTAAAAGTTAAACTTCAATAATTAAATTAAAAACTAGTTGAAAACCGTGAGTCAATAAAGATGTGTATTTAATATGCATAATGCAAATTAACGTCTTCAATGCTTACCGGTCTTTTCTACTACTGACATATCATTTTCAACAGGCAAAGAGTTAACTAAAGTAACACAAAATAATATCAACATAAAAAAGTCCATTGTTACAAAAAACATTTATCTGATATCAATCTAACTTGACGTACAAATTGTGACTGAAAATTTAATTTATATGTTAGGTGTTTATATGTGGTTCAGATGCGTGTTAGAAAATAAATATGTGCACCCATGGTGGCAGGTACGGTCAAACAAACAAAATTCCTGGTTACTGCGCATCGATAACTTATTAATGCAACTATATGAACCTTAGCAAATACGCAGTTAGGTTCAATTACGTTGAAAACGCCACGTGGCATAAATCATACCGATGATCTTAAACTGCGTCGTTATTGAGGGAAAATGTAACGTTAAAATTATTATATGTCATTTTTCCTTTTAATTTAGTATTAAATTGCTTTATAATAATGGCAATTAGACAACTACTACGCCACTTTAAAATATCAGTATCTGATGTTGACAGAAAAGTATATGATAGTGTTCATCATAAAATTTGTTTAATTAATAGTTAATTTTCTATTACATTTATTTATAGATTAATAAATAAATACAAATGCAAATACATACTAGTCTAGTGTGTAAGCACCTTTTAAAAGAAGCGCTCTACGAAGAATGTGATGAATTTTCACGCAGTTCGCACGTAGCGTCGTCAAATGCAAATAATTTACATTATGATGTTTAATTACTTTTTAATCGGTGCAATCTTCTATTTACTTTAATTACGTACAAACAACTACCGGATTCCATTCAAGTGTTTACTGCATGGTTACATCATAAAAGGCACTAGGGCGGATAAACGTAGCTTTACCCAAAGGGAATTCTTAAAATCGATTTTACCCAAAGAGATTTAAAAGTACATAGAGGAAGCATACTTGAAACTTCACTTATGACATTCTTCTAATGATCCTTACTAACGCTATCTATTAATAAGCCCTCTACCACGTGCCAATATAATTAATTGTATTTTTTTTTATTAATTGCCAATTGATGTAATTAAACCATAACAAAAGATGATGTAAAATGTTTTATGACATGTCAATACAAGAACATGAGGTGGCACTAAACTTGACAACTAAGAGAAAACTTTCAAAGAAGTTACCGCTGAAAAAATGTTGTTCACTCTGTCTAGTCTATATATTTTTTAAATATCTTTGGTGCTACTGGAAATGTTTTGGAATGGGGTTGTCAAATATTACCAGTGCCGACGCACTCCTCGCTGAGGCATGGTGTCGTGGTTGAGTGATCTGCGAGGAGCAGCACCGCCGTGTATCCGCCCAGCGCCGCCAGCGACAGCACCAGCGCGCAGATCAGCACAGACGACCGCCGCACAGTGCGTTCCCTAGAAACATATGGGTTTTTACACTTTTTTCCACTATTAAGAAGTTGCACGAAAGAGACATACTGCTTTTATATAAGGATTTGAAATGTAATATTTGTTTTTACAAATTAATTTGAATAAATGATACGTAGTCTGATTACCTGTTAACCACGAGACTATGGGCGCTTCATGAAAATAAACCATGACAATGTTGTCTATATCTACAATTTTATTAACCAAAAAACGAAAAGAAAAATAAATAATGGGTAGAAAAATATTTTTAATCAAAAATTTAATTACGTGGCGATAAACAATTTTTAAATTGGCGAACAATTATTTTAATAATTCCGCACGTTTCACAAATCACTTCCTGCGTAGTTAAGAATGTTTTATGTATCTTCTGAAGATAACTCTTATTATGTGTATAGTATTTGTACATTATATATAACTGACACGTGTATTTAAATCTACAAATTAAATATAATCCAATTGCATATGTAATGATATGTAATTACACAATTTCTTTGCTAATTTATTCATAGTTTATGTAAAAATATACAAGATAATTACGACATATATGGATATACACGATTAGTTACTAGTAGTTAGTATAGACCGACAAGGATATCTGATTCGCTGGGCATAAGCCAATATAAAATATGACAGCTTACTAGCGCCCGTATCATCGTTAAAAACGTGTCACATGATGTACCGTAGGTCTATTCTAAAAGAATCAGGTTATCAATTCGTCTGTACCCATAGAGCTTTTATTTCTAACAGGACGAACCGCGATATAGAACCTCTATTCCAGTCCATATCCTTGTTGGACTATAGCTTTTTTATGTGTAGTGTGTAACAGTGGTTATGATCCTTTGATGAAGCCTTTTCCACACTTTGTCTCAGAAAGTATTATGTTATTATATTTAACAAAATCATCCAAATGGACTTATGCCACAGTACAGTAACTCTAAGTTAGAATGATAATGGAAGAAAAGACCAGGAATAATAGAGTGAAATTATTATGAATGCTAGACAATGGTAGGTTCCGTTGTCACGGAAACTGCGACTGAGTAAACTGTAATCAGCAAAATGAAAACATTGTAAGTTGTAATTTACCTTACTTTGTTTCTATTATACTTTAAATATAATAAATTAAAATAATGGGCGTGAATCCAAGCACATAGTTAGTATTTCAATTTGATATAGTAATGAATTCCTTAAGCATAGTTATTTATGTACGTACAAGATAAGTTAGTTTTTTGGAACTAATTATTTAATCTTGCTTGTTACTAATGTTTTAAATGCGAAAATATAGATGGAAGTATAAAATGATGTTTGTTAGTAGGCATCTCCTAAACGTCTGAATGGTCCTCAATGTAGAGTATAGGCTACTAAATTTCTTTTTTTAAATATTAGAGGACAAAATCGCGGGTAAAAGCTAGTCAAGTCTTAAAATGAAAAACTTTATGAACGTAACAATGCGTGTAGCTGAAGCAAATAGCAAACTTAATATACAAAGATGATTTTTTAACTTTATAAACAAGTCGTTCATTTAAGTAAATAAGTACGACTATACAAAATCAGAAAGAAAAATCTAACTTGAGCTTTGTTTCCACGTTACTTAGTAATACATTTTACAAAATAGTAAAGTCACCCGCATAATGTTTGTGACAGGCATGACATATTCCTTTTAACTTGAAACAACTTTACGTGAAGGATAACTTGACGCAACTTCAACTTATTTTACGACGATGAGCAATACATAAGATTTATTTTATTTATTACCTTAAGTAAGAATGCCTAGATTTGTGTACGTGTTCAAATTTTCTTATCATGCAGGAATGTATTATATTCTTAGACCCAGATATGTTAAGATAATTTGCATAAGTTATTTAAATCTCGCGCGGACGAAGCTGCGGGAAAGAGCTAATACAATGGTATAATACAATGGATAGAGGTGACGGCAATGCTGTCGTATTTGGGCTACGACTTTGCCTTCGCATCATCGCATCTTGCAAAAGTAGTAACTTAACACCATTTTTTCTCCTATAGTGTTTTAGGTTTCTATGAAATTGTCAGCTCTACGTGTCATGCTAACGGAGAGGCACGTGTCCGGACGCCGCAAGCGCGCCTGTCACGTCTTGCGGTACGCATACAAAGCAACACCTTGACTTACGACTAACTAAATGACTTTTACGTTCTCCGCACTCACCACACGAGGGAATTCCATTGTTGAATCAACTTTCCTCGCAACTCGCAGACACTAAGATTGACTAAGCATGTTTATGAAGCAATAAAAGTCATTGAATGTATTTAAAATATTTTATTAACATATCTACTTAGTGAAGATTCAATTGTGGATTGGGATTTTTTTCAAATTATGAAGCGATGAAATGATTTACAATTTTAATAATTCATGATCCTGTTACTTCCGGTTTGGTATTTTAAGAGATTGAGATTTCACAAGGAAACAAAACATAGTTTTTAAAAACAAAAAAGTCTGAAAGTAAATTTAATTACTTTTACCTGATAGATTACGAAATATAATAAGAGATTCATAAAAACGTTCGAACGTCAACCATTTTTCTGTTTCATTGGGTCAGGAGGATGACTGCATTTCTTTCAATAAGATAAAGGATATTACAGTTAGGAATGTGAATACAAGTTTCGGTGCTCGTTTAAAAGTAGATCAGATCACATCCGGGTCTTTCACTTGCAACACTACAAAGATCCTCAGTGTGACAAAGATTTATCGCATCCAGTATGAACACACTACGCCTTTAGGACCGTTACGACACAAATATACGTTAGTATTGTTGTGTTATGCAAATTGTCTTTGTAAGAGGACAATCTATTGCGTGTATTTGTTATGTTCCGTTATATGATTAGAATCGTTTGAATTACAAAAGAGTGTAGCGGTACAAAGTTTGGACTACATACCCAAAAAAAATTGCATTGGAAAAATACACTATATTTATCAATGAAAACGCCTTTCACCGCGTCGTCTGATTTGATATATTTATAATAAGTCACATATAAGTTAAATTTGGTCAGGTAAAAGTAGTTTGTCGTATGTTATTGAACTTTTTCAAGCATCATGTTTACTTTTTGGCTTAAAAAAAGTTTTATTTGATTAAGAAAATACAAACACGCCTTGTGTGAATATTATGATAATATTGATAATTCAATGATGAGGAAATGTATTGAATTTCCTTATCAATAACGAAGACACCGCAATGGGGCCGTGATCACGTATTAAAAATAATAATTCAATATTACGCTCATATGTGTCAAAGAAAGAGTATGTGTCTTCTTGAAATTGAAGTAGAATTAGCGGAAAATTACTTTAACTTACTAAACACAATATAGGAAAGCGAATAACGCGGAAAGATGATGCCCAAATCGGACGACATATTCGATCCTTTAGAGTCCCTTGAAGATAGGATGGTTGTGCACTTTGGAGAAAAATAAAAGATAAATTAAACTGCAATTTAGTTAATAATGTTTTGATATTAATAAAATTATAAAAAGTTTTTACAGGAAAATCTCAGGCATAGATTTCAATTTCATGACCCACAGTGATTACAATAATTATGACACATTATCGTGTGGACAATAGCAGGCAGCACGTGTGCGCAGGTTCATTGCCACGCCTGCGCCTGCGCATGCAATTTATTCTACTCGCGCGCGCGGCTTTCCACTAACCTGTTGTGATCTAACGCACAGGAAGTAGCGTTTTTTAATGATTTTTTTAGTACCTTTCAGTTAGGTATTCCTTGTTAGCTTGTGCCTACTATAACAACTTAAGAAACAATATACAAAAAATAATATGTCTTCTCATTTAAAAGTAATTTCAATTTTTACAATGTTTTTTTTTCTATGTAAGTAATAATAATGTTGGTAATTTAAGTATGTCTTAAAGTACTTAATCGTCCAAAATATATTTATAAAAATAAACATGTTATGTTTAAGTAGAATATCTATTTTCCCGCTGCCGCTTGTGCCTTATCGCCGGCGCAGGCGCTCCACTAAACGGCTGTCCGCTTACGTCGCGGTGTAATCGCTACCTAATAAGGACCTTACTTTCCCTGTTAATTGATAACTATTAGGACATGCTTCCGACTTGACGGTCCGTGCCATTAATACTTTTATGAAAGCCTTATAAACTGTACAACCGTCGACTTAATAAACTTACCAATATCGAAAGCTAACAACGAGATTTTATTTAATAGCAGATTATGATGTTCTCCTTCTTTTGGTAAGTCAGTTAAAAGAGGTGCCAAAGTCCCTAAATAAATCTAAGGATGAGATCACCTACTGAATAGTCGTAAAAAAGGATTAACGAGTAAAGTAACAATAATTGTGATGTAAGGACAAGTGCCTTTTCCAGTATCCAGTAGAACAGGTTTTCATTGTCATTAAATAAAAAGTTCAATTTCAAAAGGCCATGGAGCGACATAATTAGTGTTACGTAAGGATCAACTTTCTTTTACTTGGCTTAAAATGTAACTTACATAACACACGAAAGCTTGTCACAAATATCGTGAAACATAGTAAACTTTATCAAGCACGAAAATTGCTAAAGTCTATGCGTCTCAACAAGTTAACCCTCTAAAGAAAATAAGTGGGAATATATTAAGATAAAAAAGTAACCTATATTATGCTCGACTATGTCGGTTACCCTTCAGTGAAAGTCCGGTCGAAATAGGTCCAGCCGTTTCGGAGAATAGTTACACGGACCAAAATCGGCTTGCAGACAGACACACAGACAGTGGATTTTTTAACGTTATTATCGTTATCAGTAACGCAAATACATCATCTTCCCGAAATCTGGGAGTTTTCTTTTGATATTACAAACAGACACTCCAATTTTATTATTATATATGGATAGATTTTGAAAAGTTACCGATCGACTGATAAATCAATGCATAACCTCTATCGTCTAAGTTTGTATGGATAAATACATTTGTAAAACACTTTTCAAGGGAAAAATTGAATTTTTAAATCAACCAGATGGGAGTCGTCAGCTAGTTTGAAATTAAAAGTTGAAATACATGTAACATTCTCATGCACTTGCGTGAGATAATAAATCATAAAGATTTGAGCAAATCGTATAGAGGTAAAGATTAGAAAGTAGCGTAACATAAAGCGGCGGATGTCCTTATTGCCTGCCCCTGGCCGCTGGCCACTGGCCACTGGCCTCTGGTCGCTGGCCGATGCCAAGCTCAAGGCGACACACCGCACAGATACGAGTTTTCGATCCATTCAATAATGTCAGACACTTTCGCTGTTAATAATTCGGCGGCGGATCAACGATTTAAAGGTGGTTTATTTATTTTTGAACATAAAAAGTTAACGGAATAAAAACGAAACAAGACGATTTGAGCACACGACTTAATGTGGCCGACAATTATAATTTATTTCAAAAGTTATAAATTTTAGTAAGCGTAAAATTGACAGTAAAACGTAGGTCAGGTATACGATGTACCTGCAGAGCTTCAGTTATCTAAACTCAACAATTATCATGTACGAATACCTGATAAAAAGGCTGATTACACCCGGCTACTGTTCAGTTACGAACGAGTTACGATCGAGCTGTTATCAAACTAGGAAGAACTCTGATCATTGATGTACAATTAATATATGTACATTTATGTCCGTCCGTCTGTAACCAACAACGTTTTTAGTGTTCTTAACGTTTTAGCTCAATTAGATCATTTCACGCATCTGCGGCTTCGATGTAAAAGATAACAATTGCAAAAACAAATAAAACAAGTGAAAGAAAAGAAAGATTATGTTTATTTTCTGCATAAACAAATGAAGAACAAAGGGCTTGTAGAAAATTGTATGATGTAAAATAATATTGCATGTTATTAATCGAATATATTCGCCTAACGAACACTATGACGCATTATCTACTAATACATTGCCCGTTGCTAAATCAATTTGTTTCAAATCTACGCCCTTAACACTGTTAATTAATTCATGTAATTTATAGTTAATTTAATAATAAAATACGGAATTGAGAATCCAAGAAGTTGAATCATCAGTACTAATTGTCGGGTTTAAAAACACAAAGAATATAATAAAACGAGGCAAAACTAAGACAAAATATACCAATAATCAGAAGTATAAATAATACATTAAAACGGAAACTAAAACATTAATTTAAACCAAATACACCTAAAAATGTATCGACGCGACTTAAAAGCCCTTTAACTAAATAACATATATTAAAAATAAAAACACTAGGGAGCTTTTTAAATACACAAGGGCAATGTTTGGTGTAAAGCAATTTATTCACATGTACTTTATTACGACTTTTAACTAACTCGTTTCCTTATAAATGAAAATACGGAAACCTGCGCATCATTTCTTTTATTGTAAGCAGAGATAATGATGTATGATCGTACATACAAAACATGTATGAGACATGGCTATTAAAATATTTGTGAATTATTCATGAGTTAATGATTGGATCGACAAAGGAAGGGACAAAGGGAATATTCATACCGCAGTCGTGTGATGTATAAATTACTAAGGTAATAAAGAAACTCCGGCACTTTCTTTGCATTATGTATCCTTGGTGCTAAGGAAGGGATTTCGTTCACAAATAACAAACAAAGAGTCAATCCTTTTATACACAGATGAGCAAGAGGAAGGTAAAAATGTTAATGATCGTCTACAAATATTAAATGATTTTTAAAAATCTCTCAAGAAATAAGGTCTTACATTATGACAAGAGAATTGCAACTTCTATGTTGATAAAAAAAACTAATCATTGCAATTTTTTTTAAGTTTTTAATCCTAAAAGATCCCACCGACTGTGAGTGAAGATGACAAAATTACCATACATCTTTTGTATGGTGATTTGAATCTTGCTAACATTACGTAGGGGGTTATAAACAAAAACATATCCATCCCTCTCATTCTATTAAAAAAAAGAGATGACAATATTTATGTACAGTTTAACTATGGAAACTCAAGGTGTAGCCACTCGGCCGTCACTACGGCGACCTGTTTCAAGGTCACTTTTTCTACCATAGATATTTGTGCTTTTTTGTGACTTTTGTCCCGTTGGTAACAATATCGTTATTTTTTTCAGTAACTTCTGGATCTAGAGGTCGATAAAGAACATTGATAAACGATTTACATGTTTTTATGTATAAATTAAATATATTTGCTTATTTTTTAATACTATTAGTACTCCGTGATTGGGTTACCAATATGTTGACAGTAGTAGTGCCCGCTTTAACATCTTAGCACTGCAGGGCCGGCACGCCCGGTGTCATATCACGACCACAGAGAAGACAGGCGTGAAATGGAAGCAATTCCGTGTTTCGTCTGATGAGTGTAGGGCCGGAGGCCTAATTTAAGTCTCTTTCTCTTTTCCACCCTTTTCTAATGGGAGGGGGAAGTGGATTTGACAGTGGAGGAGATGTATAGAAAGGGGCAAAATCCTCTTTATGTGCGTCTCCTCCTCCGTCGGATAAGGGTAGGCAACGCATCTGCGATCGCGGATGTCTATGCTGTCTGCGGGCAGCGGTCGCTTCGCCGTTTTGGCAGATTCAGGTAGCCACTTGCTCGTTTGCCACCTTATATTTAAAAAAAAATGCAGACATAAAATAGGACCTTTTTATCATTGAAAAATAACTTATCAATACAGATGATCAATTCCGTGACACGCATAGAATCGTGTACATATAAATACAACACGCTTTTGACATACTCATTGTTAGACCTTAGCATTTTATCACTCAACGATTTCTCGTTCCGATAAATGGCCTAGTTACAGTACAGTTGTCGACTAAAGTTATTTAATAAAAACATAAATACTGCTTAACACAATTTTACATTATAATTGTTTGTTGAATACACAACTAACTGTTTTAAATTTGTCGCTGACTGTACATTACGCTTTCAGGAAACAAGACTTCAAGCTCACGTTTCATACTAAATGTTCTTATCTTGTTATCCATAATGTTAGTCGAATTACCGATTTGAAATTAATTACCGAAGCGTCAGTGTACTCAGGCCATTTTTTCGGACAAATACAATAAATAACAAAATAAACAAACACTAGTTGTCGTCGGCAACACCGTCCGCGCGGTATTAAGAAAGCTTAATTCGTAGTCTATGCGACTAATACTGTCTGTAAGATATCTATATATCTTACAGACAGTATTCTAGTTATACCAAATTTCATCCAGATGTTGAAAATCGTTCTGGAATAACATCTATCCATCCATCCAAACTTTCCCATTTGTATTAGTAAGAGTAAAATTATTGTATTTAACGATGTTAAAAGCTCGACATTCCACACGAACCGTCCAGATTTAGAAATTGTTTAGTAGTGTTTTCGTAAACAATACGTACCTATGTAAATATAAACAAACTACAAACAGTGAAAGTTAAAACAGCATTCATTTACAAAATAATAATTTTAACTAATAAGGATTTCTGAAACTCATTCCTCTTAGTTATTTTATACATGATACGTACTAAAAGTAATATTCCATAATGAAGTTAAGATTGTAAACGCGGATATTTTTATATAAATTAAAAAAAAACAATCGATAAAATAATGCGTTTGTTTGAAAACATATTTGTTTTTCAATTAATTGTTTGTACTGTGATGCGTCATTCGTTGTTGTGCGGTACTTGACTACATAAGGAGTACGTACTAGTCCTACCTATATTATATTTAGTTCGGGATATCTACTAGTTATTTTTAAGTATATCAATGATTTTTAAAAAGGTAATTAAAGATGTTAAATTCTCCAATGATTATTGTAAGCATTAGCAATAATAAAAAAGACCATAATATTAATTCCCAACGTAAAATTAGATTGACCTCAACGTGTAAAATATTGCCTGTTGCTACTTTATGAACCAGCTCGACTTGATAGCTGACACATATTATACACAATTTGAAAAAGAGTACATTTCACACAGGTAAATGTCATTAAAAAAGTCTTTTTCCGTAATCAGAAATTACCTTATAACTATGTGAACCTTTTTTTACGGTCAGTGCACCTTACCGACTTAAAATTATTCAAATTTTTCGTTTACAGCATTTCCCATTATTATTTGTTTAACTAATTAAAAAAAGAAACATGTGAGTTAAGGTTTTCGATTAATGTTGATGAATTAAAGTTAGTCGACACGTATTCAAAACAAAACTCCTGTGAAAATATTACTAGCAATTATTTACATTTATATAGAACGTACTAAATTGAGATAGACGCCCTATAACTTGTAAAGAATCGTGGTGCGAAATTGGCTGTTTAGGAAAAGTGGGCGAGGTGAGCTGTGGGGGGGGGGGACTGGCGTGTACAGAATTATGTAAGATGCATTCGCATGATTGCAGTTGTAACGTCAGAACTCAGTACCACTTCCGCTATACATTTGTATAACTGCGAATAAACGCAATTCACTATCGACTAGAGTTCGATCTTCGCTATATGTAAGAACATATCTTGTTGGTGTTCAATTAAAATAGATGTACACCTTCCATTTTAATTTTAAGACGCAACATTTCTGTTATAGAAATAAATCACTGGAAACAATGATTCTATGAGTTATTTTTGAATAGTAACAATTGTATGCAGGGCGTTCGCTTCCGTCTATTTCTTATGCTAATACACTGGACACGTGCAGTATGACAGGATCAGTATGTAGTTCACATACAATACGGAAGTATACTCTTCAATTACATGTTAAGCTTCACGATTGTCTGTTATTACAAAGTATACTTACAGCTTCTCTTCCAGCTTGCAGTCCGGCATTGCGTTCGAACTCTGACTGTCACTCTCAACATCTTTGACCTGTGACAAATAATAGACTATGTAAAAATAAAGGTCTATTGAAATATTCATATCAGCAAATGATTCAACTAACTTTAATTACATAATAGCGTTAGTATCACGAATGTACCAACTGTCCCGATGCAAAACAGAAAAGACCAGCGTGAAGGGGAAGGAATTTCGCGTATTATGCGAAATGTTTGCAGGCTCAAGTGGATTTGTTGGAAGATGGGCGGATTTATCCTATAAAACATTCCAAAAGATGGTTTATAACCGCAACGAAGTTGCAGCTTGAACCAAACGAACAAGTATTTTTATAATTCTTTAAAGAGATAATGTTTTTGCGGATAATCTCATACCGGCCTTGGATTTGAGTAGCTTGGAATTGAATGTTCTTGTGTGTTGTGTGTTGGGATGTTATCGCGATTACATTAGCTGATATGAAGCCGACATCGATGATATAACGTTCGAGTCTCCGGTAATGACATCAAACGGCATTGTGTGTCAGTGGCAGCACAATGCCGATGCTGATGGCAGATAGCGCACGCGGCGTGCACAATGGCCGAATGTGCTGATATCAAAACTTAACCACTAAGACTCAATAGGGTCGGCAGTACATCGAAAGATTTTTGACAGTGTTAATTTACAGTCAGAAATATTTTTGAAAAGTTTATGGAGTTATAACGTATTTAGTAGCAAAATAGAGAACATTGATAAAAAAACTGTCAAAAATGTTGTGTGAAATTGTTTCTGAAATCTATTTTTTATTTCCTATAGTTAATTAAATGTTTTTTGTTATTGTGAAATTAATTACATCTTAAATAAGATATTTAACAAATGAAAGAATGTATGTTCCTTACACATTCAACAATACTTTAACTAGCATTTTTGTAGATAAAGGTAATAAATTACAAGACAATAGTCACTTTTTAATCATCACAATTGGTATTTTTATAATAAACATCTTAGTCAATAACTGTGCAGTAATTAAGAAACATTTCCTCTAAAATTCTTTGCAAATACAGATAATTATACTATGAGAGAATAAATTTACTAAATGTATGTCACTTGTCAGTTTATAGAAAAAAGATTATCGAACGAGAAAAGTATTTCAGACGTTAATGACGCTAATGGGATTTAAACTATTCTATTACGTTACGTAGCACAAATGGTGTAATGGTACGGTTTGCAAAACATTAACGTGGATTTAAATTTATAGATCGAAAACTGAATCCTCAATCGGTTGATATATTGATGGTATGAAAGGCAACTAATTTAAGGTAGTTTTTATAGAAATTAATAAATTTTTCGATATGTACCCTATACCTTGGCTACAACAACTGATGGTTACAGTGGTCACTTTGTTAAATTTGTTAGAATCTATGTTATTTCGTTACATTTGTCAAAAGGAATTCCGTGTTCATCAATACGTAACGTATTACTTGAGCTATTGTTTTATTACAATAGTTTCCATACGTATCAAATTCAATTAAGTTTTATCACTACCGGACACGCAATGTATAGTAATTAACAGAAGCTTTCTTACGCTAAGGCAATCGTATTGCAAAAGTGCAATAGATGCAATTATGACTTTCTTATAAACAAAGTGGCTGTCGCAAGACTGCAGTGGACAGCGGATAAAGAACATTTGCTAATCTCACGCTAATTGAAGGCGTAAAATAAAATGTCTATGACGTTATGAACACAACAGCAGAAGCCGAGTTTTTATCTAAATATGTTAAAAGTTCCAAAAAAAGGTGGAGAATACCGGAGCGTGATAAAGCCTTAAATTACGTCTTATTTTTAACAATTTCCTATTAGTTGTACCTTCTTTGTATGAAGTGAAATTAACGACGTTGGTGCCCTTTCAATATCTAGACACTATTGACTATATAATTGTTCCGGAGTTCATGAAGCGTGCGCTGACGCAGGATGGTATACAAGAGGGCACACTAGCGCCGCCATGCTGTCGAGGTGAGATTTGTTCAACAAGATTAACCTACAAGGTCTCAATGATTCTTTGAACTAAGGCGCTCAGCAAGCTGTTGTAAGATGGGATATATTTCGCATAATTAAAAGTAAACAAGTACAACCGTCCCTTAATTATTTTAATTAAAATGTAGATAAAATTATCGATTAAAACTTGAAATAATATACTTTTTTGTATTATTTCGTCGTATAAATTACTGCCCTAACAATAGACAAATAACTAATAATTAGCAAACAACCTTAGCCTCAGTTTCCCGTCGCTTTCCGTCTGTGAACGCATGAATCAATCCGAGATGTTCATTCAATGAAACTCACTCACGGTTACTGCAACTAAACAATGCAAGATATAAAAACTAAAGTTATAGAGGGTTCGGAATTCGATACTAAACAATTTCAATTTTGTGAATATTTATTAGTAGTAACATTCTCGACTAATAAGAGAGCTTTAATTGGAAGAGATGTATGTATAACCTGCGTAGAAAGGATTTTGCATTTCGTAATACTGTCTTTAAATCCGGGTTATAATGTTAATGTTTCCTTTAGCATAGGAACAGATAACAAAATAAAACTTGACAGTAAGTGACGCGAATAAATGAAGACGGTTCTGATCATTGAAGTCAATAGGTCAACAATCTGTATGGAACCGGCACAAAAAGTCTCCCCGGTCGGCGAGTGCCTTGTTCGCACGCAATTCTACCATTATGTGATACCACAATAACGGCCATTATGTCACCACGTCCTAGTTGCAATATGACAAAGCTTACCATATTACTAGGAACTTTTTGAGGACTGGAACGTTTCAATTTCATTTTATGTGAATGTTACTCTTATGTGAATCTTTAAGCCGTTAAAGAATTAATTATATTGTTGATTGTTCGATGTTTTTAAAATTGACTAGTGTTAGGGGTTGTAAATGAAGTCTGTACGGTAGTAGATGTCGCTTTCCAAGACTACGTTTATTCTCACCGAAGTTTAATTTATATTTTTGAATATGTTTATGCAAAAGATGCGTATTATGTTTGTTAATTTTGATTTTATAATTTGTTAAGTCTACCAAGTTGTCAAAAAAGATACGTTTTTCAGAATAATATTTTAAATTCTCCCTAAAAAGCTTAAGTAACCGCCACTAGAGTACTTCCTACCACTATAGACTGATAGAATACCTATTTATTTAAGGAAAGGTATTACTAAAAGAGATGATATAATTATTTCAGCGATTACTTATTTCAGTGACTAACGAAACAGCGATTAGAGTACGGTTACGTCCTCGGTAATGTTGGAATATGGTAACACTGTCGGTGTCCCACTTGCCTCACTGTTACACTTCTCCTAAGATATTTTTTTCTTATTTTCAGCGGTTCGTTGCGCGTCTTAGTATTGGAAAGGTGATCGTGGCAGTGAGTGATCCACAACAAAACAATTATTGTTTGTTTACAAATGTAAACAGTTTTTAGAATAAAGCCATAATTTGTTTGTTTTAAATAAACTTTATCATTTTATCGCTGAATAAAAAGATAGATATATAGCATGGGTTCTTAAAGTTCTGTGACATATAGGTGGAAATTTTTCCATAAGAAAAAATAAACTTTTCTTAGATATTTTTTCGCAATAAATATTATGTCGATACTTACACAACTAAATGTATAATATTATTTAATTTAAATGTATTGTTGTTATAATTTGTTACGTATTGTTACACGTTAACAGGGTTATTATCGCAATTTGACGTTGTTACAGCTTGAAATTTAAATGAAATTCTAGTGTTATATTTTCTCGAAGGTTATAAATTTACTAAAGTCTTTGGGGACAGTTAATCTACAAATGACAATCAAAGACTTTTAATATCTTTCTCTGCATATTTCTTGAATGTCCAAAAGCATCGGTGTTCTTTATATTCTGTATTTAATACATTTAGGTTATTTCAAAGACGTAAATCCTTTTTAATACGCATAATTATCGAGAAATTGGATCAATAGTATTTTGAGGTTTATTTATAAAATAGGTTATTACATGTATTTATGTTTACAATTACACATATGTTTTGTTGATTACAATTTCGCCTATGTTAGAATTATTCAGATTCCGCTCGGGTCGTGAGAAAGCGAATTCGTTTCTTGTTTGCAACTTTCCCTTTCATTTTGAAACGATATTGTCTTTTGTATAACTGTCCTTCGCTAACGGGAACGTGTGTGCATGTCAATTTAGTAAGTACATATCTGCATTATGTACCAAATATTGAATTATTTATACGACTTAGTACCATCTCAAATGTATCATCCTTTCTAAACAATGCAACAGCAGAGTTAGTGAATTCCTATCTACGCTTATTATTGCTTAAGCATACATAAGCCTCGAAACGATATATTCCGTTTATTTGGAAAACTTTAGTTTTTGTTCTGATTTAGTTAATATATTTTATGTTACTAAGATTTATGAAACTTTACCAGACCTACTAGTATGCGTGTTTCCCGTTGGGCCGATTGGATCTGATCAATTAGCCCAATGGGAAAAATTCCCATTTATAGATTCAATGACCCGATTAATCAATATGCCAATCTGCCCACCGTAAATCACCCTGTAGCCTCTATTTAGTGAGGTCGGCGATTCGAGACGATTTAAATTACATTTATTGTTTTACCATCAAAATAGTCTTATAAATGTTTGCACAATTCGATTCTTGTACCACTTTTCATAATGATAATCGTTTAATATTTTCACAACGTTGCAAAAATGATTTTCTATTGAGTGGCTCGTGATCTCCGAAACTTGCGGCACTTCAGCTGCCGTATCTAACTCGATTGCCACAGCAGACATTTTTCTTTAAGTTTTTCGCGCGTAAATTAATGTTATGATTATAAATATGATTTCCTTTTAGATTTCAGGCTGTTGATCGCCGCAACTTCGCTTCTGGATGCGCTAAGCCAATCAACTTGTACAACTTTGACTAGAACTTAGGGTCATTTTGTGGTTATCGTACAACAGTCATTTAGCAAACTAACTAATTGTAACCGATAATTATGCCTATGGCTATT